AAATTGCTAATGATATACCTACATTACAGTGAGTTCATAAACCTTTCAGAAGATAAGTAATAGTTAGTGGCATGCAAATATTTATTTAACATTTGATGCTTCAAATCAGTAACAGCAAGACATTTTTGTTTCATAGCTGAGTTATTTTAACTTGTCATGAATTACTTCCAAGTTTTAGAGCTCAGAAGAAACTACAAGGCCTGGGTGGTGACTCCAGAGTAGTAACTAAGAATATCATGGAAAACCGTTGAAGTATTATTAATCAAAGAATTAAAAGCCATCACGAAGCCAAAACATGTTACTTCAGTAATATTCTCTGACATCCATTTCAAAGTCCGAAGTTGTTATTTAGCAAAAATCATTTTTTAACCAAAGAAAATTTGCTATAATTATTTTCCCTGTACTTACTTTTCTTCAGTTATTGAATCTGAAATTGCATTTTATAATTTTACATTATGTTGTTAAAGCTGTTTCTGCACATTAAAACAATTTTTTGTATACTAGTTAATATAATTTATATTTCATTCTAATTCATTATCAATTATTTGGAAGTTTATTTTGAAACACTGAAATTTTCTATTACAATACATGAAAGGATAAATCTGGCTACCACTCAGCAAGTTAGAAATGACTAAAGCTTCCTTTCACTACTAGTAATACAATCTGAATTTATAAGTATCAACTTAAAACGAAATCCATCCTCTCTAATCTATTGTTATCAATGAAATTTCAAATATTGAGAAGCAACATTAAGTTGATCACTTTTATCAATATTATTAAAAAAAATTATTTCTATTAGCTCAGTAGTAAATGCAAAATTATACTGAGATAAACAGAGGCAGCTTAAGGAGAACCTGTGAAGATAACATTATACAAAGAAATGTAGGACAAATTGCATCTTCCTTCACATAAATGTGCCATTTCATGCCCCAGTGGGCATCAATTTTTATTCCTCATCCAACATACTCACCAGATTTATACTGCTGGCCATTAAAATTGCAACACCAGGAAGGAATGATCTGACGAATGTCAAAATCACATGAAAGGAAGAAGTTAGTTGGAATATGCAAATGATTAGTATTTCAGCGCATTTAGACAATGCAGAAGGGAGAAACAACATCTGAATCACTGCATAAAAGAAAAGTCATGTAGTGGATTTCTCATTCAGAAAGTGCTTTTGTAAGGTTAGAATTTGCTCAGAATATCATGTTATGCCACGAATAAGAAAAGGAAATGCTTATCAACAAGTTTCAAAACTGGATAGAGGCAGAAGCATTGCCTATCGAAAGTGCAGATTATAGTTCCGTGATATCGCCGGTTGACATCTTACCACTATCATGCAAATATGGAATCAATGGATTGCTGAGGGACATACCGAACAGCATGCAGGATCTTAATGCCCTTCTATGACTAATGCCAGAGAGGACAGACATGTTGTGAGGTCAGCTCTGCAAAACCGTACAACCCCATCACGGACCATTAGTCAGAAAAGGAGCATGTTTGCAGCACGCCCAATATCAGCTCGTAAGGTGCGTCCACTTTTGCAGCAGAATAACCATTAGTTTGGCTTCCCTTGACAATGCAGCATAGAAAGAGACGGCGATTCTGATGCACCAAATGACAAAGCTGGTTACAGGAGTGGCACAATTCAAATGAATTTTCAAACGAATGCTGGTTCTACGTGCAGTATTCTGATGGCTGTATATGTGTATAGAGTGTCCGAGGAGACTGCACATCGCCTGCTTGCATGCGATATCGGCATAGGGGTCCTGCACCTGTGTGATGGTTTGGGCAGCCATTGGGCACATGACATGCATATCTCTAGTTCAGATCGATGGTAATCTGAATGCACATGGTTACATTTCTCACATCTTATGTCCAGTGGTAGTACCCTATCTTTGAGGCCCCCAAACACCATGTTCCAACAAGATAATGCAAGACCACATGTTGCACATTGGGCTCTCATCTTCCTCGATACACAGAGTATTCAATTGCTGCCCTGCCCTGCACGGTCTCCAGAGGTGTCATGTCACCCTTTGAAAACATCTGGTCATGGGTTGCTGAAAGACTGTTTTCTATCTTTGAGCCCCCAAACATCATGTTCCAACAAGATAATGGAAGACCACATGTTGCACATCGGGTTCTCACCTTCCTCGATACACAGGGTATTCAATTGCTGCCCTGGCCTGCACGGTCTCCAGATCTGTCACCCACTGAAAACATCTGGTCATGAGTTGCTGAGAGACTGGCCCGCCTCCCCTCTCCAGCTAATACAGTTGATGAAGTGTGGCATAGACCTGAAGAGGCATGGAATGAATTGCCTATTTCTGTTATCCAAGCCCAGTTTGACTCCATGCCTAATGGGCTAAAGGCCGTTTTAGCTGCCCAGGGTGGCATCTATTTCTACTAATTTCTCACAACTGTAAACCTCCAAAATGCTTACAAATTTAATCATTTTGTCTTCATGCTATACTGCTTACGTGTAATAAATATCTTTTTTATATTTGCTTTCCTTCATGGGGTTGCAAAAAATTGTGTGTGTATTTCCTTGTCATACTCAAAATTAAATTTAAAGTAAAATAAATCATAAATAAAGCTTGATATCATCATAAATAAAGCCTGAAAGAAAGCATGCATCGAGTTGAATGCGCTAAGAAAAGGTTACTTCTCTAATTCTGTCTTAACTAGAGATAGGACTTCAAGATCAATGTCTTCGTTACAATCAGAAATACTTCAAACAAGAAAAAGAATAATGCTAATGAAAAAGAATAAGTTAGCAATTATTTTTTAAATAAAAAAATGCAAACTTTTGAATAGTACTTTACTTCTCAGTCATTGTTAGATTCATATAGTAGTAATATAAATTTATTGATACATTTTGAAGAAACTTAAATCATGTTACTAATTTTATTCAGAATAATTACTGGCGAGTCCAACATAAAACTTTCGATAACGAGTTGAAACTAATTTTGACCTTTTTATTTCATGCAATCAAGAATAGGCAAGCAATTTCTACACATGCATAATTAATAGATAGCTTTACTAGGATTCTCTGCACAGATGACACAGTCTACATCTACCTAACTTTTAAGTCAGGACTGCCTTAACCGACATTCTTTACTGCCCATATACTGATTGTTAACTCAACTCCTGAGCAATATATTATACGAAAAAGTAAACATTTCTACATCTATCCGAAACAATTAAACAGTTTATAAGCGACTAGAATTGGCCTGTTTCATTATTAAGAGGCAACTGAAATTGTAAAATCCGATTTCATATTTTCATGAAAAATAGTTATTAAGAGTTATTTCTGTTATCTACTACTATCACATGCAAAATTGAATTGTATTATTAGATAAAAGAATTATATACATAAACTGTGAAAGCAAGCTTTAATAATTAAATTCAGTAATTACTCATAATATCGTCAAGCATTTTGCATCACAAAGTTATCAAGGGAAAAATACAGCAATGGTCTTGTGTTGATTAGCACTTAAATGGTTATAATCAAAGCAGAGACTAACATAATCAAGAAACATGATTAAAGCCCAATATCATTTGTGAATTATTTCTCTGCAGTACATATTTATATTCCATAAATCAAAACTGAATTAATACAATAATCTGAATTCCTAATGTCTAAACTTATATTTAAATTCCTCCTTTACAGATGTAACTCACTTTCCTTAATATTAAAAAAATAATAATAATAGCAATTTAATAAAAAATCTGTATACACTGAAGTGCCAGAAAAATTAATATAGATGATCCCATTTAAAATGTATTGCCACACCCCACTTTTTATTAACGGTTTTGTCTACAAGCACCATGTATATTGCAAAAGATGTCTTTTATAGCAGTTTCCACAGCTGACTGCTCAATGAAAATAGCAGATATTGAGATTCCTATGACTTGCAGCAAGGTATAATAGTAGATGCTTATGAAATGGGTCATGATATTTTGGAGATAAAGGTAAAATGTCATGACCTCGTTTTAACAAATTTCATGTTTTACCATTTCAAGAGTTCACTTTAGATACAAGAATTTCAATAAAAAATTGGATGGACAGCAGCAATGTGGTCGTCAAAATATACCACATGATTGTGAAAAACATCTTTTAGATATGATTTCAAGTAACTCATATGCAGTGTCATCACAAATAACACTGCAGTTCAAGGTTGATGCCTCCACTAACATAATGAGTATACAATTAAGACACAATAATTAAGACACAATATACCATTTATACAATGTTACTCTAATGGTATGGGCCTTAGACAGCCAATGCTCAATCTGACTATCATTCTTTATTTCAGCACATGCAGATCTGTGCATCTGGGATTGAGAACATTGCCAATGGAGAGGCTGTGTTTCAAAATGATTTGGGCAAGTTTGCATATGGAAAAACTCTCATGAATTAGTGGATGCAACTTGTCAACAAGGGGCTGTACACGTTGATGGTGGTATTCAGCTGCCATGAATAAGAAACCCTTCTTATGTCTACAAACTTCTCTAACCAGTAACCATTAAATTAACAGACTTTTGTGTGATACACACATTCACTATATGCATACACTCTGATAAGTCTCCCTCTTCCAGTTATTACAATGTACCACTATGTACATCTTGAAATGCCAAGTTGTGGTCTGAGGTACATTCAGTTTGATGTCATAAAATCACCTTCCCTAATTACAGCTCCTAATATTATCAGTCATAACTTGGATGTCATGCAACATTCTATTCAAAGCACAAACCCACTACCTACAAATATTACAGAATTTCGAACCATTTTTCAGGAAGCATTTATTGCCTATAATCTAGCTCAGACAGACCTAGCAAAGTCAATGCTCTATCAAATTTCTACACTGTATGATTCAGAAACGAATTGGTCAAGTATTAGACAGATATTCCCTTTTTTCTGACGCTTCAGTGAAAAATTCGTTAACAGAACAGGGGAAAAAAATTATAATTGAAATTTTTTTTAAAAAAATGCCTACCTGGATTGCGAATAATCACCACAAAAGAATTTTCAAATTTCTTTCCTTTTCTTTTAAGAGGCTTGCATAACTTGTAACTACGACAATGAATGGAATAACAAGATGTGTTAAAAAGAAAGGCCACATTACAAGTATTGTCATCACAACATGCCTCCACACAATCACTCAATGTTTCAACAGCAGGAACTTTCTTATATCTACCAGCAGACAAATAGCCATATGGAGTAGACTTTGGATTAACCAAAACATTTTCAAATGGCACACCTGGACAAACTATATGGTTTTCTAAGAGGAAAATAATACGTGTAAAATTTCTCTTAAGAAAAATACAAAACAAACAATATCATTTTTTACTCTTACTGAACTAGAGGTTTCAACTTACGACTTCATTTATAAAAAGCATACGGAATATAAATTGCAAAATATGAGCAAGAAAATTAACAGAACTATTTAAAAAATAAAAATGAAAAATATGTATCTTCAAAATCTCAAAATATGCTCAGAAATAAATGGACATTTTCCAGTCATATGCTACTGTAACTGATCAAGGTATAGCATTTATATTTCACCTCTGCATTATACAGTAAAAGCCCAACTAGCTGGCATTCCAATTAACTGGAAAGCTCAAGTAACCGACTTATTTTAGAATTTTAAAGAAAAAAAAAATTCCCAAACAAACTTAGTAAATGAAAGATTCAAACTGCGATTATAGAGCTTGTAATACTATTAACACACATAAGTTGTTGCTAAACTATGTGATTTTCTTCTAATAATGGGTAAGCATAATGCTGCAACACAATCACAATAAGTTTGTTTTGGTTTAATGTAAATTCAATTAATTCTCAATTAAACCGGTTAACTTTTTGTAAAGAAAGATACAAGTTCTATTTTTTCCTATCATTCCGAAACAATTATTAATATTTGGGAGTATTTTTAAAGTTACAGTATTCAGGTATCAAAAGAATACAAATAAGATAACTGATTTTATAATTTTAGCATGGAAACTTTGTCCATAGATTTGGCCTTTCTGACCTAAATTCTGTATTTTATACATTCAACTATCTGGAATTTTCACATATCTGAAATTCGTCATTTCCTGAGCTTTCTGGATAAGCGAGCTTTTACTGTACAAACATATACTGTGCATCAAAAGATAATGTGCATAACAGTTTATGTATTTCTTGCATATTAGCAAACATTAATTATAGTTTCCAAACCCAATTATGATGCACTGTCCCCTTTCCAATGTTTTCCCCCTTTATTACTTCCTTCAGGTTGGTTTAGTTTCCTTAGGCACTGACTGAATGCATACTGAAAATTTTAGGTATGTTTTTACTGCATTTAGTTTTCACCAAACTGTTTATAAAATTATGTCTCAAAATTTGAAAATACAGTGGCAATGACTAAAGCATTATCACATAATTATGGTCATAGAAATCAACTTGCAAATATATATAAGCTGAATTTAAAAGAACTTACATTAAGGTGAAAAAGCATGTTGCTTGACAGAATTTGTTATCACTGCAAATTCAGATCTGTGGTCTTGCTCTGAGAATTTTAGACTGGCAGATCATGAATTGCATTTTGTGCATTTCCTTGCAGTAAACCATGAATTTACCCACATATAACATGGATAAGAAAAAAATATATATAAAGGATTATTTAAGATTCTTGTAAAGATAATAGATGTATGTTAAAATATTTGCATAAATGTTAAGGCAAGCACAGGCTTACTGCGCATTTGCTTCTTCGCTCTTTTACTACTCTTATGAAGAGCAATGCCCCCTCTCCAATATCTCCGCAGTGCCTACTGGAAAGCTGTATATTCAGATAATGAAATCTGAGCCAATATTTGTATACGATTCACCATACATGTGAAAACATGATATTCACATTCTAGTTTTGCCAACAGTAATTTTATGGATATAAACTCCATTCCAGATTGCAGAGAAAGAATATATACAGCTCTTATTTTTCCACTTTTAGTTCATTACCTCATATTGTTTAATAATTTTGATACTTATGTGTGATGTAGGAGATGTCATATGACAAACTGCAGCCACAGTTTCATGATAAAATCCAAAATTGTTTAAAGAATTGATTGGTATAAGATAAGAATGGAAAGGCCTCTCTTTATGAGAATGGAAAGACTTTCAGTGAAGGATAAGCACAAAACAGACTTTGTCAACAAACCAAATAAGGCAAGAATTCTCATAGGACATTTCCAAATTCGTCATTCCAAAAGCCATACACAAGATAACACATTTCGAAAAAGGCCAAACTGAAGTCAACACCCAATCTAAAAATGGTAAACAAGCGTTCCGTTCTGCATTTGCTTATGATAACAAGAACAACAAGTGGAATGAAGCAGACCTAGTTTCGAATTGTAAATACATGCAAAGTGTGCTTTATAAGTCTTTACAGGCAAAAAACATGTATGATTGTGACGTTCACATATTATTAATACCTAAAAGAAATGAAATTTAGTGTTGATGAAAAGAAATTGTATGTTGATAAGCCAAAACATTTTGGTTGTTACTCGAGAAAGTTTACTAAACTGGATGGTATTTGCATGGTAATTTTCTTTACTGGGAACACCAAAGCTGGCATTCATAATTCCATGAATGGATAATGTTGAAGGTACTAAAGTAATGAGTTGGTTCATATAATTCTTGATACATTTTCAGTGAATTCTACTCATTTATCAGCAAGCCAATAACCATCTGCATTGCAGGTCTATCACAAAGCAGTATTTCAGTCAGTTCCAGATCAAGCTGTTAGAATGGTCCACTAACTTACTGGATTGTAATCCCATGCAGAAATATAAAAGCCTGTTTTATTTTGAATCTGCACATTAACTGTATCCAAAGGAAAACTAATTAATTGCAACCTTAATTTTCTTAATAATATTTATTATCGCTTGAATAGAAAACGTTATTAAGGAAAATGGAGATTTTCTTTTAATACAGTGCAAAATATAGATTTCCTCTATAAGAAACTTGAATGAAAATTATCAACACGAAAATGTACACAGGGAGCTTTTTCTCAGAGGTTAAATAAACTTGGAAATGTAAATGTAGATGAAAAATGAAGGCACTACGTCAAAACACCTAAAGTTGGTGGTGGGCATGATCTTTTGATAGATCAAAGATTTCATCACATAATGGTTTGTCATGCTGAAAGTGTAACGACTATAAAAAAAACCCAGCAAATGTGAAGTGTGCTTTATTATTATTAAAATGAACAACCACCAAACTTAATAACCTTTCATTGAACCTAAGTTTAATCCAAATCTCATGTGACAAATACTAGATGTTCAGCAGTGACTGATTCAATTCCCCAGTTAAAATATTTCTAGGCGAAAAAAGTTGTTATAGCTACCAACCTTGAAATATGAAAAATCCAGAAGTTTTCATGCTGTGCTTCTTCAGGAGGACTCCAAATTTACAAATATTATTTAATAATACCTATGTGTTATTAAACTAATCATGACAAGATTTTGATATAAAATGCATTAACATAAAATTTATTTTATTAAATTTTAATTTCACATCAAATTATGTATTTTAATTTATTTAACCCTTTCTGGCACAGTCTGCCAAAAACATTGCCATTGGACACACAGAAAAAGTGAATGGAAACATTACTTTTAACCTTCTTTATTAATACTAGATGTCATCACAACACAAACCAGTCCATACATTTCAGCCACGTTTAGTTTTTAAAGACCCTCATTTTTCAAAGAAACTTCCAGATTTTTTTAGAACACAAAAGGAATAGTTTGAAAAGAAATTTCGATGTTATTTTCTTGGCTGTATGCTGATCTCTTAATTCTATATTAGTTTTAAATTTTTAACTTGAAATCTTGACTAAAATTAAACAACAAACATCTGGTGTGCCCAGAGTGGGATCACTGAAACAATAGATCAATAACTGCATTGCTGTTTCACTGATGAATTTTCTTCATGAGCTCATCTAAAATAGAAAGGTGGGAGCATGGCTGTTTTATTTTCTGTATTTGAGGGGAGGGTTGTTGTTTGGGGTGGAGGTTTCATTATTTTGGGGTGTTATTCTAAAGCTCAGGGGTAATTTTATTAGTCAGGTCTTTGATTTTTTACTACAGCAGTTCTTTTTTTCCCCCACTGTTTTTGTTGAACATAGTTTTTTTAGCTTGACGTTTTCATAGTTTTGAGTTGTAGATGTTTATTTAATTTTATTTAATTTTAGTTTAGATTTTTTTAATTGTAGATATAATATTGGTTTATTTTTTCTGATTTTTAATTAATTTGCAAATGGATCAGAGAGGGCTTTTTTTCATTTATACACAAGTAATCATCATATAACCAAGAAGTGCCTTTGGGGGGCATGTAGAATAGAAAGCCTCCCCGTTCTGCACCCTGGGTAATGCTAAATCTGCTAAGGCAATCAAAATCTAGTGTTTTCTAATCATAGGCAAAATTGTTTACTCTAATATCCACTATGTAACCTAGGGTTTACCAAGTTTGATTGGTGTAATTGTGTCTCTCGATTTAAAGATTTTCTCATTCTGTTGGTTTATGTTGATGACATTGTTATGTTCGGAAAAAGTAAAGTTCAGGCTAAAAGGATATTAAAAGTTCTAGTGTTCACATTTTGATTTGAAAATTTTGGGTAAAACAAGAAAGCTCTTGGGTTGTAGAATTTGAATATGAGAACAATAGTGTCCTAATTCATCAGCAATTATATATAGAAGACATAGTTAATCGATTCCAAGTCTTTTAAAATAGAAATTACTTCCCTTCCAATAGTTAAAGGTGTGAAATACTCAAAGTCTCAAAGTTCCAGTACACAAGAAGAAATGACCGAGATGATAAATTATCCTTATAGAAAGGTTTTAGGATGCCTCTCGTTTCTTTGCAATCGTACTCGTCCTGATATAGCCTATGCTGTTAATATATTTTCTCAGTTTCAAAGTAATCCTGGTAAATTTCACTGGGAAGGATTACTTAAACTTTTAGGATACGTTTCAAATACCAGACACTACAAACTTAAACTGGTATGCAAGGAACTGAAGCTCAATATATATTCAGATTCGGATTTTGCTTCAAGCAGAGATGATATAGTGTCCGCTTTTTGGGAGAATCACCTGTATCTTGGCATACATTTAAAAAAGGGGAGTGAGTTTGTCTACTATGGAGGCTGAATTTATTTCCATGACTGAATCAGCAAAAGAATTGGTTTGGTTTAAAAACATTTTGGATGAATGCATTTAGTTTAAAATTGCAAGTAACTATGTTTCAAAACCA